AGAAATAATTGATTTGTGACTAAGAATTGAAAAAAAAATCCAAAGATGATCATAATGAAGCTCTATAGTGGGGCTATATTTCAGGATATCATAGAAAAAATAATAACGAACTTGCGAAGATAGGAATGAAAAACTTGATTCATTAAAGCTTGAAAAGTAGATGAGGGCCTTTGTTAGGCCAAAAGGCATGACTAAGAATTTGAAATGGGCATCATGAGTATAGAAAGCTATTTTATAAATGTCTTTTTGGTGCATTCGAACTTGATGTAGCCCAAATGGAGATCAAGTTTATAAAAAAGAGAGGCGCCATGCAATCATTCAAAAGTTCGTCAATTGTTTGAATAAGGAATTTATCTTTAATAATAAAAGCATTAAGGGCTCTATAATCTACATGAAAACTCTAAGTGCCATCGTGTTTTTTAACAAGAAGCATAGGGTTGAAAAAAGGGCTATCATTGTGTTGAATAATCTCAGATTGCAACATTTATGTGACCAATTGTTCCATTGAATCTTTTTGAAAATGAGGGTTGTGATAAGGGCAGATATTAATTGATTTGGATGATGATGGAAGATTAATGCGATGAACGATTGGGCATGGAGAGCGTAAACCTTACGGTGGCTGAAAGAAGTGCTTAAATTGCAATATTAAATTGGAAATAGAGTTAGGTGATATGGTGGGTCATGGAGGCAAGCTTGTTGTCTAAAGTATTTTCAGGTGATGAATTATCATTATTTAAAAGCTCATATTGAATAGTAAAAATTTTTATCGAGGATGAATAAGAGATCAAGGTGCGAAACAGATGAAAAGAGATAGGACCAGCTACCAATTGAGGTTTACCGGATAATGTAATTTAGCAATTTTGATAAAAAAAATTGTATTGTAAGGTCGCAATAGTTGTGGAGAATGAAACCTAATGATTGAAGTCATTGCATTCCTAGAACAATATCAGCTCCATGGATGGAAAGAACAAACAAGCCTAAAAGAACTTTATATCCTTGCATGGAAATGGTAACTTGAGAGCACTTGGAGTTGCATAATAATAAGTTTCCATTATCTATCGAAACCTTGAATTATTTGATAGATTGTGTTTGAAGAATGCATTGATGATCGAGATTGTCTTGAATAAAGCTATGACTGTTACCACCATCAATTAAGATATGAGCATTATGATGGTTAATAGGTCCAGTTAAGAAAATGGGATGAGGATTAATTGGCCGGCTAAAGTATTTAAGCTTATTTCCGAAGACAAATCATCTGTATGAATATTTGGATTAGGAGAGATTGGATCCTCTGATTATTCTTGGTCGTTCGTGCAAAGTAAAACAACAAAAACAAGCCTTATCCCACTACGGGGTTCTGTGCCAAGTAAAAGATAAAAAATTTTAGCATTGTAGTTTTGGGGCTCAAATTTGGCATCAGATTTAAAACAAAGTAATTTTTTGTGATGAAACTAAATTTCAACTGGGGAAAGTTTACGAATATGAAGTGAGGGTGTTTTAGTAGAAGTGGGTGTTGGTGGAAGAGGGGTGGTGGACAGTTGGCCAATGGTGGGAGGTTGGTCAAATGTAGAGTAAAGATATTTTGCCTGCAGAAAAAGGAGGGATGGATTTGCACCAATGTGAGAATGGAAGGAAAAAGAAATCTTGAATTTTTTATTTGTGACGGCGAGGTAGTCCATGGCATCCAGGAGAGTAGGATTTGGTGAGCAAAAGTTCTCTATATAACTCTTGTTTAAGATAAAAAAAACAAAATAACTAATTAGAGTGGATTTCAATAAATTTGAACTTTAAAAGCAATATTTTCAAAAGATGTTTGGTATTCAAAAATGAAAGAAATTTGGGTTACTTTAGATAGATTGCCATCCAAATCTTCATAAGAAGAGATGCCAAAACATTGTTGTAATGATAACATGAATTTGGGCCAAGAAGGATTTTGGCCTTTCATTTGAAGTCATTTGAAGTATTATGAAAATTTAAATACTCATGGATTTTAAAGATCCATATTTCCACAATGGATCCATTAAAATGAGGGAGTTTGATTTTCATGTTTTTAAGGAAATGAAAGCATGAAATGGACGGAGGCTGTTATTGAGAGGTGGGATTGACGGCTGATCCTAGGATTGAGCGGACTGAGCAGACGGTGGCGTTCTTTGATGTAGGGGAAGCGGCTGGTCAATGCATAGACTGTCGAGGCACTTGTCCACACTCCACAGTCTATGAAGATTGAGAATTGTTGTAAGGTTGTGCCGATTGAAGTGAACTGAACATCAACTTGTTGAAGGGATTTTTTAATTTAAAAAATTTTGAGATTCTTGATGTGTTTGCATAGATCTCAAGGCTTCTGACGAAGGTGCGACTTTCAATGATGAATAGGAAGAAGGAGAAGGCCTCAATTAAATTTGTAGATGCTGTAAAGCAGACATTTAGCTAGCATATTATTGCTTAAGTATTCTTTCATTTTATCATAAAGAAATTATCATTTAAAGGCTATTCTTGAGCTGCATTTTTGGGAGTGCTTTTTCATTAGAATTTACTTTTGAATTTGATGGAAAAGCAGGCTGGAAAATTTACTTTCTTGTTTACTAAAACAACGACAATAATAATAAAACATACCTAGATGCCATGCAGGCCATGATGCCGTCATGCGCTTGAGTATGTTGCCTCCATAATTGAACGCCTCCACAATCTTCTTCTGCCATTTTATGACTCTCACCTTCTCCTATAGAAACCCCCAACACACACACACACGTTCGTTTGTGCTTTGACACTCTTTTTCCTTCTGGCCTTTTCTATTGTGTGACACTTGCTGACAACCCATCCCTCTTTCATTCCAATGCTAGCTCTCTCTCTTCATGCGCAAACAAATGTAAAATTTTATTTTTTTTCTACCCCAAAATACCCTCGCTTGAAAATATAGGTGAATCATTAAAGGGCCAATGATCTTTGGTCAGGTTAAATTCACTATCATTGGTTGTGATATTTGGTCTGGTACTAAGTCACTTCTTTAATTATTGGTTTTGGATACAGGGAGTGATTGCTTGTTTGCTAATGAATATGAATAATCAAAACAATGCAAGTTAATAATGGAGGAGCTACTCATATTAATTCTAACTAAATTGAAGACCCTATATCATCGATACTTGGTCTAATTGAATTTTGAAGATGACTACTTTACTATTGATCTTTGGTTTAACAAAGGGTCCCTCCTTTCTCCATTGTTTTTTTAGTCCGGATAAATGGAGTGATTGCTTTTTCGCCAATGCATATGAATATGAATGATTAAAGTTAGGTGGTGATTTTTGAATCGTTGTTAAATGATTGTCATCATGTTTGTTAAATGAACAAACCACATCAATGCATCCAACACTTACGACTGCTCACTAGAGGGATTCAATATCACATCATTCTTGCAACCACTGACAATAACAATAAGAAAAATAAAATACCAAAAAAAAATATTACCAAATTCTTACAAAAATTGAAAATAATACTAAATTATTGCAAAAATTTAAAATAATGTAGGTGAATTGTTAAAGATCTATTGATCTTTGGTTTAGCTAAATTGAAGACCCCTCGTCTTTGATGTTTGGTCCGATTAAGTTTTGAAGACTGCACTTCTTCCATTGATCTTTGGCTTGGCATGAGGTCTCTCCTCTCCATTGATCTTTGGACCAGACACATGCAGTGATTTCTTTCTTGCCAGTTATTGTGTCAGATTGAAACTCATCAATGGCTTATGATCTTTGAGGGAAGAAGTGACAACGAGCTTAGTGTGCCATCTCAATTATCAACATCATCAAAGTCCTTCTAATGGGATAAAAATAAAGATGGGTCTACTAGCATGTTTTTGACCCACAAAAACAGGTAGGGAAGAATACCCATCATGATTTAAGAAAGCACACAAAAGCAAACACATAAGTTTGAAATGAATGAAAGAAAATGAAATTTAACCTTTGTAGTATATGTCGATATATGTCGATAAATATGCTTAATGTAATATGCATTTTTTTTATACCACAAAAACAACTAGAGAAGAACACTTATCATGATTTAAGAAAGCACACAAAAGCAATCACATGAGATATAAGCTAACTATTCTTAATTAACATAATTAATTAGGATAGCATATAAATAACAAATTTATGATATAATTATGAAATATAAGCTCAAATAAATTTTATAATAATATTAGCAAGCAATTCTAAGATGAAATATATTATTAGCATTTGATTATAAGAATTCATGCAAATAAGAAATACTATTAAATTAAATACTTAGAAAAGAAATTCAAATAAATTACTAAAAATCTTTTAAAAAAACCTAGAATTATTTGACAATATATATATATATATATATAATAAATTTTAGCTTATGTTTATTATATTTGAGGCATTTAAATGTAAATAATAACTTATCCATGCATTAAAATACTTAAAACACTGTAATTTATTTCTTATACTCTTTTGCTTTGCCTCCTTAAAATGTCTAGATTCACCATCTATAGCTCAATTTCAAACTTCAGATCCTCCATGCAAACCTACTCGAATAGATTATCTTCTCTATGATTTAATCAATGCCTGTATAACTTGTAGAAGCACTTCGCAAATAATTAGATGACACCACATAAAGGTGGGTCACACATAGGTTGCATAGGCTCGTGGGGTCAATAAGTTTGTAAGCTAACATAATCTACCTCAAGGAAAAATAAGTCCTAAGTACTCTTATTTACGGAACAAGGAGCTCAGAAGCAAAAGATAAGTTTTTCCTAAATTATCATTTCTTTGCTCGCTTTTATAGCGATTAGCTTATGGCCACCAATTATTTATCATAACTTGGGTATGTTTTATCATCTGTTTGCCTACTTTATTTGCATATGTTTTTTTTTTTTTTTATTCTCCAAGTTATCCTAAAATTTCAACATGAGTTGTATGCCTACTACTTGGTGCATTGCATTACCAAACTTTTATATGTTCTCTATTCTTTAATATTTTGATTTGTAGATATAAGTGAGCTGAACCTGCCAAAAACGACAACCATATCATTTCCTAATGGGAAGGATGATTTAATGAATTTTGAGATCAGCATTCGGCCTGATGAAGGATATTACCAGTAAGTCGTAATGCTTATTAGAAAACATTGGTTACTTGCGCAGCGCGCATTTATTCATATTTATATTTATACCATATTTGTATGAATGTTTTTTTGTTTGTATAATATCTGATAAATGATCATAAACCTGTTTCTTATGAGATGACCTCTTGTTTGCATCCCTTTTTAATGATGCCTTTCCCTCATCATTTAATCAACTTGAACTTAAAAACTCAAAACTTTTATGCTTTTCCTAGGGGAGGTACATTTATGTTCACGTTTCTAGTTCCTTCATCCTACCCTCATGAACCACCAAAGGTCAAGTGCAAGACAAAGGTACATGTATTGTTTGTAGTCTAAATGATCTCCCACATTCATTTTTTCTTAGAGAAGATCATATTTCATTTGTTCATTTATAATGCAGGTATACCACCCTAACATTGACTTGGAAGGAAATGTTTGCTTGAACATTTTGCGGGAGGACTGGAAGCCCGTCCTTAATATAAATACTATTATTTATGGATTGAATCATCTTTTTACGGTATTTATACATAACCTTGGACGATTAATTTTCTTTGTTCATTTCTTTCTTTATTGGCTCAACGAAGTTAGATTTAGTTAATTGTGATTGAGTTTTTATTAGTCCTTCGTTGTGCTATTATTGCCTTCTATTGTGTGGAAAAATATTTCTTAGGTTTGGTGTTTTGTCAATCTCATATGTTTTAAGGCTTGTCCTAATTGGTGATTGGAAGGATAGGATCTCTTATTATTTAGCTATGCCTTACAAAATGTATTCAAAGATGAAGAATTTGTTTGGGGTTGTCATCTACTTCTTTCAATCTGAAATAGCTCATGCACGTTGTGCCTAACATGTTTAAATTTGAAGTCATGACACAAATACATATACATCTAATTTTTTTTGGCTGTGATGTCACCATTTGGGTAGCATCTCATTTGTGTCCTCGTATGATTAAGCCTTTTTTTGTTGATCTTTACTTACAGGGATCCTTTTAGTTTGTGCGAGCAAATGCATTTTGGAGCATAAACCCTAGATTGATGAAGTTGCCATGACTTCTTCCAAAGAATTTTTGATGGTGTATTAATTGAATAGCCAATTGAGATTTGAGAGTTTTGACTGTCATTTGTACTCCTATTGTTCTGTAAATTTTATATCTTCTGTTTTTTTTGTGTTCTATTTTATTGAAATATTTGCAGTCCTCTCAAGTATTAAGTGATATAGAGTAGTGCAGTACAAAATCGAATAATCTGCTGTAGGAGGAGATTCAGGGAGATAGAGAGACGAAGGGGTATGTAGTTAGATGAAGGAATGCCTCCTAGGAAGGGTGGCAAGGGGTAGAACAGTAGGGGAGGGCATAAAAAATCTCACTTGTCAATTCACTTTATTATTCATTTATTCATTGCAAGCCATAGTTCTCCTTGTTTATAGAAGTAGGGCTACAAGATATGATCAAATTTAGAACTGTAAATTTATTCAAACTACCTAAAATTATGCAAAAGGTAATTGAATATAAAATTAAGTAAATAAATCCAAAATCCTAATTTAAATGAAAATAAATTCTAAAGTACTAAAATACTTAAATCTAATTTATTATCCTGGATCAGTAAGTCAAGAATTTGTGAAATCAAGTGTGCTTCTGTGCTGTTCATGCATGAAGGGGCACTCACTTGCAGATTTTCGTGTTTCCTATTTCTGTCATCAATTAAGCTTTTTTATTTGTTTTGTTATGATTATGAACATATTTTTTTAGGAAAAGCATACTCCATTTAGCTTATCCTCTTTTTTTTTTCTTGTTAATATTTCAATATTAAATTGAAGTTAAATAGGCTTTAAAGAATATGAAGTGTGGAAAAGGTAGTGGACCTAATGATATTCCAATTGAGGTGTGGAAATGCTTAGGAGATGAAGGAATTTCTTGGCTTGCTAAACTTTTTAATATTATTTTGAAGACAAAAGATGTTAGATGAGTGGAGAATTAGTGTGTTGATTCCTATTTTTAAGAATAAATGTGATGCACAAGATTGTGTGAATTATAGAGTAATTAAGTTAATGTGTCATACTTTAAAAATTTGGGATAGAGTTATGAAGCATAGATTGTGACGTTATACTAATGTTTCTCAAAATGAATTTAGATTCATGCCAAGTAGGTCTACCATGGAAGCTATACATTTATTGAGAGGTTTAATGGAGAAGTATAGAGAGAGTAAGGAGGATCTACATCTACATATGATTTTTATTGATTTAGAGAAAACATATGATAAAGTTCCAATAGAAGTGCTATTGAAAGTTCTACATAAGAAAGGGGTTAACAATGCTTATATTCAAGTCATTAAGGATATGTATGTAGAAGATGTTACTTGTGTTCAAACACAAGGTGGTTTGACCAAGTATTTTCCTATTTCAGTTGGATTACATCAAGAATCAGCCTTAAGCCAATATCTGTTTGCTTTAGTCATGGATGTTCTCACTAGACATTTGCAAGAGGTTGTACTCTGGTGTATGTTTTTTGTTGATGATATTCTTCATGTTGATAAGACTAAAGAGGGAGTTGAACGTAAACTTGAATTATGGAGGTCAACCTTAGAGTCTAAAGGCTTTCGTTTGAGTATATCTAAAACTGAATATATGGACTGTAATTTTTGTAATAATAGATCTAGTGGGGGGATTGTGACTTTAGGTGATCAAGTCATTAATAAGAGCACATGTTTTAGATATCATGGGTCTATTGTTCAGAGTGATGGTGAAATAGATAGTGATATTATTAGTATAATTCAAATTGGATGGCTGAAGTGGAGGAATGCATCGTCTTGTTATGTGATAGAAAAGTCACTCTCAAACTTGAGGGAAAATTCTATAAGTTGGTAGTGAAACTTGCAAATGCTTTATGGTGCAGAATATTGGCCATTAAAAGAGAAGCATAATATTAAGTTAAGTGTTGCAAAGGTGAGAATGCTGAGGTGGATGAGTGGCTTCACTCTTAAAGATAGGGTATGAAATGAGCATGTATGAGAAAAGGTTGGAGTTGCGTCAGTGGAAGATAAGATTAGAGAGTTTGATGGGGACATCAGAGCTTTGAAAGTCTATTAGAGGCGTGGACTCCGATCGACGGCCACGATCGCGCCGATATATTTTTAAGTCGTCATATATATTTGTTTTTATTTATTTGTATTTATTTTAGTCGTTTTTCCTTTTTACCCCTTAAGGGTGGTCTTGTCTAAGCCCAAAGGGCGATGTTCTCTTTTATTTTCGTCCATTTTATTTTCGTCCATTGTATGGGGCTTTATATAGCCATTATGTTCTCTCTTTTGAGGTAATGAATGAATGATAAAATTTTCCTGTGTTTGAGTTCTTGTTAGAGCTTGATAGAGATTGGAGAGAGATCCCTTGGAGAGGGAAGTGGATCACCCACCAATCTTGGAAGAGTTCGGATTCGGGGTAAGTTTTGTAGTTCTTGTTCCTTTTTCCTCCCTTCTCTTCTATCCCACGGTCTTCCCCATTCAAAGCCGCCGGCCATCTCCACCAAACCTCCACTGCCGGCCAACCAAAAGCCCCCATCCCCTTTGATCTTGGGCTAGCACCCCTAGCTCCCCACTCCACCCGACCCCCCCACCGACTTTTACCCAAAACCGGCGGCAAACCCATCTAAGCCGCCAGCCCCCCTTGGGGATTTCCCCTCTTGGCTTGTGTTCAAACTTTTCCAATTGGGTATTTCTAAGATAAGAAACTTATTTAATTCATATTCAAATTTAATTTGAATTTAAATTATTTCCTAAATTGTGAAACCTATTTTTGGAAAGTTTCCTAAATTAAATCCTATTTGAATTTAAAATTCAATTGGATTTAAATACACCTTTCCAAATATCTAAATCCAATTCAAGCAACTTTTAATGCTTTCCATAAACCCATCTCCCTCCCATGGAAGGCCCCCACATATATATATATATATATATCATAGTTAAATTTTTTGGAGGCAGATGCTGCTGAGAGATTTCGTCCGCTTGCTATGACTTTATATATTAGTTAGAGGTTTTCCTATAGGTGCATGATGCAAGATATCTTAAGTTCTAGGGTTCACCCATTATAATTAGGATTAGATACTCACAAAAATACAAAAGAGTAAACTTTGCGGTAGCCTAACCTTTTTAAGGCAAATAATTCATTGAGACAAAATTCAAACACTATCTATTCCAGATAACAATATAAAACTTGAAAATTTTAACATTCTACTAGAAATATGAGAACTGATATAAAATTTCCCCAAAAAATAAATAAGACTTACATCACAAAAATGAAAACCAATGTATAATGAACTTGACCAAATCTTAATCATGTATGCAAACCAATCACATAATGATTTAGGCTTCATTTGAGATAGCTTTTTTTTGCTTTCTACAACAACTTTCTAGTATAAAATTTCTTAAAAACAGTAATCAAAAGCTGTTTCAAATGAAGCCTTAGTTGAAAGAAAAGTGATAGAAGTCCCCAATTTAAAGATCCAGGCCTTAAACTGGTATAAGGAAAAACATCTCTCTAAACTAAACGTCATGACTTGTGACATGTTTAAAAAATACATCCTTTATCAAATGAGCACATAAGCTCATATAAAATTACACACAAAAAAAAAAAAAGATTTACTTCACAAAAATGAAAACCAATATATAATGAACTTGACCAAATTCAATCATCTATGCAAACCAATCACAAAATGGGTTAGTTGAATGAACAATGATAGAAGTCACCAATTTAAAGATCCAGACCTTACGCTGGTATAAGGAAAAACATCTCTCTAAACTAAACATCAAGACTTGCAAGATGTTTAAAAAATACATCTAGTATCAATCGCTTACACAAGTCTGAGAGGAAGTAAAAAAATATATTTAAAAATTCATTAAAAAATATAATGCCTCAAAGGTCCTATTTATAACTCAAAAGACCAAATATTAGTAACTTAATTTGAAAACTTTAAGATCTAACCTAAAACTGCAAATTTTAGCACACTCGGCATAAAAAACCAAAGGAGACCATTGCCTTCCTTCTAGATATAGCTTTCTATCCTCTGCTTTGGAATCCCAGCTACAGGAAAGAATCCTATGTAGTCATTTAAGGAAAACTTCAAAGGCAGCAAGCACGTGAAACAACTGTTGCAAGGAATTGAAGACCGTGGTATTTAAGGAAAACCACAAAAGACAGCAAGCATGTGAAACACCTGTGACAAGGCACTAAAGGCAATGCCATATTAGGAAACCCTCAAAAGGCAGCAACAATGAAATTCTTGCGGTCCGAGCGACTCTCATAATTTCAATCAATATTGAAAGTCAACTAGTCAACTAAAGCAGGATGATAGGGAGTGCTGCAGCCTGTAGGAAAGAGGAAATTTGGATTCTGAATTTTAATGTGAATGTTGGTTGGATTGAAATCACTTTTAAAGTAAACCAAATTTAACAATATAATCAAATATTAGAGAATGCATCTTGTTCTTGTAAGCGTCGATATTATGGGCATGTTACATTTAAAAAAAAAGGATAGCAAAACTTGATGCCAAAATCAATTTACATATCATTTACTTTCGGCTCTATCAAATTGAACATTTGATATTCATCAAGTAGCTTTGGGCATAATAGTTATGCTTCATGTAAGTTAATCCATGGATCATTATAAATAGATATGTCATGCTAATGTATATAATCTCTCACAAATTTACAACCATTAGTGAACAATCTCACCACTCGTAACAACTTTAGTAGATCTATTTGGTAACTTATTTGTGTGAATTAGCGAAGAGGAAACTTATTGTGTGAATTAGTGAAGAGGAGATGAATAGAGAGAAGAATCTAAGACATTGATAATAGATTTATAAATAAAATAAAATCAAATAAATTGAAGATTGGGATAATACCCATTTTTTTCTTGGAATTTTCAATATAGATTTATTTGGTAACTTATTCGTGTGAATTAGCGAAGAGGAAACTTATTGTGTGAATTAGCGAAGAGGAGATGAAAAGAGACAAGAATCTAAGACATTGATAATAGATTTATAAATAAAATGAAATAAAATAAATTGAAGATTGGCATAATACCCTAATTTTTTTTGGAATTTTCAATTTATAAGCATTTGTTCCAATGCATTGTATTATTTCATATGCTTTCATATGCTATCGCATTTCTTGCAGTTAATTTCTTTGAGGTTCCCATACGAAACTTGTTAGGATACAGACAGAACATTGTATTGTCACTTCATTTAAATTTCATATATCTCATATTCACATCAACATCAAATATATAATTTTCATAAATAGCAATTAATTTATTGTAATATTTTCATGCAAATTCTGCAATTCATTAATATGAAGCAATTTATGCAAATATGAAAAATGCTAGCATTCCTCATAATGGATACTAATGTGATAGGCCGGCCCAGGAGGGGCCGGTTGGACCGGTCCTGGTCTACAGCCGGCGGAAGCCAGGAAGAAAAGAAGGGGACGGAACATTGGGTGGGGCCCACTTGGAGTTAAATCCAATATTAGGAGGAAAAATTTGAATTAGAAGGGTAATTAGGTAATTTGTAATCCTCCTTTCATGATTAATTAGGGGGAATTAGGGTCATCTTGGTTTTGAATTTCGTTTGGAGATCTAGGTTTATTCTTGGGCTCTTGGCTTTGCCGGAGATCGTGGAGAGTGCTTCCTTCCTCTCGAATTGAAGGAAGATTTGTATCTTGCAAGTGCTTTTCATCTACTATTGAAATAAAAGTGTTTGCTTTGTTTTCCTACGAATTTTTGTTGAGTTTCCTCTCAGTTTTCCACTGTTTGGGCTGTGTTCTCGCTGCGGACAGCAGTTTCTTTGTGTAGGTACTTGATTTGGGTTAGGTTTACTTGTGCAAACGAGTATTTCCTATCATAATGATGGTTTATAACTTATTCCTAGATTATGAGATAATAAAGGAAAGAAAAAGCAAACAAACCACACATATATGATACCTATATGGACTTACTATGAAGAAATCTATAACCCAGATGGCTTAAATATTAATTGTGATAATTTATATACTTTTTAACTCATTTAGATGGTTGAAAAGATATCTTTCGTATTTTCTTTAGGGTTGGCACGGGCCCCTTATGGCCCTCCCCCGCCACTGTTTGTAGAGCTTGCTTATCCGCAAAATTAACATAGTTGGTATAGATCATCAGCATAAGAAAAAAGATAAGAGCAGAAAATGACTTCCAATATTTTGAATTTGCATGATACCATAGTTTCTCCATTGAATTGCCTGCTCCAAAAATAATCTTTCAACAAAACTCAAGATATTCTACTTGCAGCAACCAAATCATGAGGATCCCCTGAACCATGACGCTGCAGCTGTTCTGCGTGACAACCCGAGGTTGTTCGAGACCAATGTGAGAAGAGCAATGGCTGGAGGATATGTAGGCCAGGTTCACTTTCCCCGTTGCATATGATGAAAGCCTCTGATGCCTTGCAGAATAAAATAGTTAGATTGCCTTAGCAAAGCTGCTCAGGCTGCAGCAGCTATAGCTTCTTCTGTGAAATAGCATCGGCATGTTCTTCAATGTAAAGCAGTCTGCACCTTGCTGTATCTCAAAGACCTTTGCTTGTATTATTATTTCAATGGAATGTTCACAGATGTGTGAGAGACAGAGACTGATTAGCAGTTTAATTTTTTTTTTTAATTATTGTTATTGTTATTGGTAAACATGGCATGGCTAGCTTATGATTCATAATGTATGCTTGTATTTATAACTTGATTGTTTTTTTTTATTATTGTTAAGTGTATGGTTATAATAATCTTTTGATGTACTCAGTTCATGAATTTTCCTATGCTGTAGCTGTGTGATTTATTGTAGCATTGGCACAAATTTGTGATTTATTCTTTGATTTTTAATTTTTATTGAAAGATTCTCACTACCAAGCTCAGTTATTAAGATGTGGTTTCCTTAGGTAATGCTCTTCTTTTCTAGCTTGTCAGCTCAAATAATGGAAAAATTATTCTATGCGGACTCCGGACGGCGGCTGGAGACCAATCAGAATGCGCCATATCATTTGTTTGCTCGGCACCGGGTGATGTGATGATTTTTTATTGGCCTTTGGACCGCCTTGTATCCGCACAGAATAATTTCTCTCAAAAAATATGGCTTTAATGTCCTGAAAAGCATGCTACTGTACATCTTAATATGTCTATCTTTATTATTGTCATTTTTTGCAGGGGGATACTGATGAAGGGGAAGACATTTTCTTGTACACAATCTTGAGTGATTCAAATATGCATATAGCTTAATTTTAAAAATATTAATTTATTATACATTATATATTTATTTATTCATATTTTGATAATTAAATTATACATTATGGATTTTTATTTATAAAAATAGGATTATAAGGTTTAGATAAACATTCAAATGCAAAAACAACCTTATACAATCTTAGTAATCATTCAAATTTAAATGTATTTTTATTTGATAGAAGATAAAATTTTAATAAAATAGTAAACATTTTAAAAATATGAGGAATTCAGCCATACTTTAAAATGTGCTTAAAAAAATTTATATATGAATCATGAATCACTTTATTATGTTCTAGATGACTTCTCTTAACATTTATATTGGTAGAATATTTCAAGTAGTGTTGGAATATTTATAGGTTGAATAAGAATAGCAAATTATTTTATTTGATAAGTAGAATACCTCTACTTAGCCTTATTCAATTTCTGGCCATAATAAATGATTAGGTGATTGTGATTAAGAATATCACTCATATTAATACTATAGGCATTGAATGATATTTTAAAAGCATTATAAGATAAGAAATTTTAAGAATTGGTGATGTTGTCACTCATTAATATCCTTATATATTCATAGGTATTCACAAATTGTTCCTAAGCTCATCACAATCAATTTTAGTAACCTTTTAAGAATAGTCTAAATAATTAAATCATGAGGCTTTAGACCAATCGCTTTGATTGTGATGCATTTGATAATAACAAGACTATGACCAATGTTGATTTTGATAATCCCGTCATAGTATGATTATGAAAAATATTATCTAGCCTCGTGTTTAGCCTGATTGCAATGATGTCATTTTATTATAATTACAACCAAGGTCCGTATGTTCCTCTCAATGACATGCACCAAGCTTTTTATGGTATGAGTTAGTATGAAATCAATCAATTACTTACCTTCTACCTTGGATCTATAAGATTCTCTTGGACAATATAGTACATAATTATTAATAAGGATTTTTTTATTAAGTTGAGCTTCTCCACTAATTGAATTGATCAAGGTCCATGATTTTTTTTAAAGATGACAAAACCATAAGATCTCAATTGGGTGAGTAATCATCCCCTATTTATATATGTCAATGCATGATAAATGATGTCTTCTATCAATGAGAGAAAGATATTATTCTTAATTCCAGTAGTATAATAAAGTTGATGGAAGAAAATTTTGATGGCCTTATTATTAGGAATGATTTTAAGAAAGTATATGATCTAATTTTAAACTTCTAAGAAGATGTTAAGGATATTCTTATTCTTGATATGAAGTTTTTGCCTTTATAAGAGTAAACCAACATTGATGGTGCTTTGTGAATAAGGGAACTATAGGATTTGTAATAATTTTGAAAAAAAAAAATTCAACTTGAGTTTTAATTGCTGAAAAAAGGTGATGTAACTTTGCTATTATTGAGGTGAAATTTGTCTCTCAATAACAAATATAATGTTGCAATTGAATTTTAATTTAGTCAATTGTAAAGGTCATTAAATGTTAGAGAAATTTGTATTTTAAATTTTCTCCAACAAATTGCATTTAATCTAGTCAATTTCATCACAACACATTTGCCCAAGTCAACTACTTACGATAAGTGCCAAACAGGTAGTAGTGATTAGCAGTGTAATTCGAGTCAACGAGAACTTGACTCATGAATGGCAGGTGAGTGGAGCAAATACAACCACTAGCTCAATTTTACATTACATTTCTAATAATAATTATTATAATAATAATAATAGCAAAATTTACATTATTATTAAAAAAGTAAAATGTGATTATATCAATTTATGATCATATTTTTTTAATTGTAAAAAATAATCCCAACTGTTTATTAACTTTTCTTAATACTAAATCATCAATTTTTGAAGATTGAGAGTTGCAAAGAATTTTAAGAGTTTGAATTCGAAACGTATAGATCGTACATATATCAAATATGTAAAGAGTCATTAGAACACAGAATGTTAATACTAATTTTAAACAATTACCAAGTGAATAGCTAATAGCAATCATTCCAAATATTTATGGTAACCGTTTTGAGAGTTAATAAAGAGAGTATGGAGTGCGGAAGAGCTAGGGTTAGGGGGGAAGTGAAGGGAAGAGGTGTGGCGTGTAGGCCATTGAACCCTAAAAAACACAAGTGGTCACTAATAGGGTTAAGAATTTTTGGGGAACAATGAGATTATTTTGTGGATTTTAGGAAGAGGTTAAAGGTTAATTGGATTTATAAAAGATTTATAATCAAAGCAAAAGTCTAATTTCCACACCAAATTGACTATAAGAGTAAAATGTTAAAAAAATTAGCATAAAATTTTAACACCATAAGGAACATTATAAATATCATTTAACCAAATGATTACCTTAATTATGATGATAATATTGTAGTATGGTTATGATATAAATCCTTTCACTAAATAGTTAGCTTGTTTGAGACAATGCCATTATAATAAGATTATGATAAATATCATTTAGTTGGGGGGTTTAGCCCATTTATTACAACAACATTATACTCTTGGGCTTTTTTATATTTTTATTTCTGTAACAATTTGAAAACCATCACTTTGAATACAAAAATGATTGTTCCATTGTTGTATCTACAACGATACCAAAATGCTATGTGAACCATCCATTGCATCAAAATTTCACAAAATAAAAGCTTGCTAATATTCAAGCTTCATTTGGGACAACTTCATTACTATTTTCTAAAATAACTTTTTAATACAAAAATTTTTTATATCAAGAAATTATTGTACTAAAAAACTAGTTTAAAAAGTAATAAGAAAATCATTCCAGATGAAACTAAATTTTGTGATAAGAAAAAATGAGAGCTATCAAAATCACAACATTAGCCCAAAGAGATTCAATAACAGCTCAAAAAAAATTCAACTACAGAGCATCAACAATTCTTTTATTTTTTTCATTAAATCATAAATTATTGAAACCTAATAAATAATATCTTATAAACCACTACACGAGAAATCATATTAGTAATAATGCATAAACTTACAAAGAATATGTTAGAACTTGGAGGAAGTAGAAGCTTCTTTTGGCTACAAGAACAACCTTTCTTGCAAGAGATCGAGAGAGGAAAGGGAGGAGAGGGAGAGAGGAGCGCCTATAGGAATTATAAATTCCTTCATTATTGAACTTATTACAATAGGGGGTCTTCACATTCCATCAATCTATAATGCATATTTATAGGCTTTAACATCGGTGTGATGTCATGCAAAGCAATATAATTAAAAACCTGGACCACTACACTAACAGAATAGCTAAATAGTCATATCAATTTGATAAGTGAAGTGTATTTTCATAAACAAATTAAAATGTATTTGATATATCTCTGTAAAGGCTTGTTAGAGAAAAAATAAATGGTATAATAATTAATGAAATAGCATTTGGGATAAAAGAATTGTTGGAGGAGTCTATATGAGAGTAATATCATCTTAAATATTATTTTAAGAAGTAATAAGAAAACCGTTTCAAATGAAGCCTAAGTGTAGATTGAAATTATAGTTACAGTATGGCAAATTTAAAAGAAAAAACCATAGTATAAATCATTTTATAACAACAAATCTAGTTATGTATAAAAATCATCCTAAGCATTAGGCATGTATTATGCGGTATTACCGGGCGTGTTTCTTGCAAATTAGAAAATAAAATCTCTCGATGGAGAAATCCTTCTGCTCGGCTTCATTGCTTCGCAGGAGGTAAGATTGCACGAGTGGCTTCTTCGGCTCCTTTGTTCTTGTTCGACTTCGCTCCTTCGACGACACTCCCTTTGCCTGTCGGATCGGAAGTTTCGACATTTTCATCAGAAGTAAGGACGGGAGCTCGCAATTTCTGAAGATAACTTTCTCCCTTTCGCGCTTCTTCGGCCAAATCCCGTCAATCCTTTGAACGACATGAATTTGGTAAAAAATCCCTATTTTTTTCTCAGTGAGATATCGCGGAACTTAATCACTAAAGCTATACGGAGACTTAATCACTGAATCTTCACGGACAAGAAGGTGACTTAATCACTGAATCTTGATGGAGAACTGAATCAAAAGGAACTAAGGCTGGTCACACCTATTTTAGTTATGCTGAAGCATCTCTCTCATCTTCCACTAGTGACAACTTAAATTTATCTCAGCTTGTTATCATTCATGCACAAATTTTTATTTGTACTTCGTTACCATGGCAATTCTAAAAGTTCACTTTGCTGAGTCAGGGAAACCTCTTCCAATTTGTGGTATAGGTCATATACAGTTCAAAAATTTACATCTTTTTGGAGTTGAGCTGAAGATCTCAGGTCTTCTTTTTGGCTGTTGTTGATGAGTTATTAAAGAAATGAACTGTATTTGCATTTGGCTGTTTTTCCGATAAGCTTTTCTAATTACTATTATGAGCACTCGTTTCTAGTAAAAAAAAAATTTAGCCATTAAGCTGAAGATTGTAACATAGTTTAATTTGTATCTATATCAACTTATTGATCGGTCATTATAAACAAATTGATGTTGAAACAACATATCTTACATGATCTCTCTTTGTTTTGATCTTTTTTTGAGTGCA